ATAGATTTATGGAAATGGATTAATTTAAGCTATAAGAACAGTTAGCAAGAAGCCTGCCACGGCCACACAGTTTGTATGCAATATAAGTCTCTGTGTTTACTTGGTTGGGTCTGAGCGGCTGTGGGACTGGTGGGTGACAAAGATTTGTCCTGACTGTGGGCAAGGCAGGAAAACTCTAGCTACACTGCATGTCCAGACATAACCTTTTACCTTGCAGGTGTGAAAAAGCACACCAGTGCAAAAAGTCATTATCGAAAGATACATACATTTGATAATATATTACTTATCATTTTATGAAGAATATATATTGTAAATAAACACCAACCCCTTGTGAACTGTGTAAAATGATATTATCTTCCTTGATTATATTAAAATAGTTGAAGAAATTACTATTAAATATAAAAAAGAGTGAGTATGTTTCCTAAATGGCATTCTCATTTACATTTGAGATGGGTGTTAGTGAATTATTGGTACAATGCCAAATAGTAATAATTACAAATAACTTTCATATCATGTATCCTGAGATAGATCTTTCTTACTGTGTCATGTAAAATTATTGTAAAATATCTATTTCAGCTATTTAGCCATCAATAACCTCATAGAAGATTTACATTTAGTAAAAAATAATGCAGGTAGGAATGGCATCGCTCACTTGTTCTACAATGTTTATTTTAACTTTTACAAGAGATTATATATATATATATATATATATATATATATATATATATATATTAAAATATCCTCAGGGGTTTATGATGAAAGATAAAAACAAAATAATCCCCTAAATCTTAATGTTTGAACTAAGTACAGAGTAAGAATATTAAAGTCTATGTTCAGGCCTGGGGAGATGTCTCTATGGGTAAGAGCCCTTGCTGCTCTGCCAGAAAACTCAGGTTCAGTTCATTGCATCTGTATGATAGTTCATACTTGTCTATAACTACAGTACCAAGGGATGTGATACCTTCTCATGGTCTCTGTAAATACTGCATGCAAGTGGTTCATATACATACATTCAGGGAAATTGTGTTACATATAAAAATATGTAAAATGAGTAAATGAATTCATATTTACCTAATGTTTTATAATTAATTATACATCATACACAATGCTTTCTAAAATAATTTTTTAGAAAGTTAATGGATTATATATAGATAATATGGCTAATTTAATTTCCACACATAGATATACCTAATCTATATCTCTCAATATTCTTATTGAAGATAGTG